CGCTGACATGTGTATAACAAGAACGCCCAAGAAATGCTCTAAATTAAGATATGTTTTTAGTTGTTCTTACAACATTTCAATTATATTTAATAAAAAAATATTAAGAACATACACTAAGATCACTCATTGTACATGCTCTAATAGAACATAATTAACTCAAACATAAATAATATAAGAAAAAAATAATTTTGAGAAAGTGGTATTTTTGTAAAGATTTCAAAAGTGTGGTATTTTTGTAAAGTGGCACTTGAAAAGTGGCATTTTTTGAAATTTCTCAAGTTCTTAATTTTTTTTTAACGTCTAAATTTGTACAAGTCTGAAAAATCTTCTATATATTAAAGGAGAAGCATTTTTGATGATGTTTCAAATTCTCATTTTTTTTTAATAATTTAAACTACTATTAACTCCTACTATACTCATATTCAAACACTACACAAAAACATTATCCCTATATCCAAACATAATTCATACAAAAGATTGCCATTAGTATACAAAATTGCCACGATTAAAAAACATAATTAAATGACACTACTAATTTTCAAAAGAATAATATAACTACCTAACATACTAAATGAAATTCACTACGTCCACAATTCACTATTCACCTATACCAAAACATAATAACATACTAAATTGCCACGATTTAAAAATTTAATTAAATGTCAGAATATTATAACTATCTAATCTTCTATATATTAAAGGAGAAATTTTTTCACAATTTTGATAATGTTTTAAGCTCTAAAATTTTTTCACTTTTTAAATAAGAAATTATCTCTATTTATTAATTCCTATTATCCTACTATCCGAACACTCTACAATTACACAGTCCTTATAACCAAACATAATTAGAAACAATTTTTTTATGTAATCTATACAACTTATCTACTAAATAACGCTAAAATAATAATTAATTTATAAGATCAGAAATTGGTGACAAGTTAATGGTTATATATGTAATCTTTCATTTTTTATCTTTGAGTCATATACTGCAACTTTGAAAAATATGTTCCGTTGGTTTCAATTATTTCACGGGTGAAATACATTTTATAAAAAATAATCGCAAATTTAAATATGTAAAGTTGAATTTAGATGAGAAATTTCAAAAAATGCCACTTTAAAAAAATGCCACACTTTTAAAATCTTTACAAAAATACCACTTTTTCAAAAAAATTTTTTTTTATATTATTTATACTTGGGTCAATTATTTT